TCTAAGGAACCCACAAATAATCCACCAATCATTATCTTAAAAGTTTTAGTGCCTCTTTGCAATAGGAACAATATTAGCTTCTGTACATGTAAGGGAACTACGTACCAGTAACCATTGTATCTATGAAATGATTAAATACAATCAATATCGATTATATGATAATATAATATGATAATTTTATATGATAATATTATGATGGATAAAATAATTTATAGATATTTTTAATTATCTCGTAAATATATATGTATATAATGTATAATTGTTTTATGAAATATTTCAGCTTTTGTTACAAATTTTGTACTATTAACTTTAATTTGTATTGCAAAAATTGTAACTTTCACGTATCACATAAGAATATTTCTTACACTGTAACGAATATGCTATTGTTATGATCTATAATTTGTTGCGCAATATTGGTGGAAAGGAATGTGTATATATAATGAATATTCAATATTATGAAGCACTGTATTACTTTTTCGCCAATATATCCAGATGATATTTCTCGAAAAATCTGGAATGTGAGCTATTTATTCAAAAGTATACTTTATACTACTTAAAAAAATAAAAGTTCAAACTTACTCGATAAAGATTAAGGCTCGCAAAAACTGTTCCATTCAATATCATAATAAAAAATGTCATATTAAATGATGATACAGAAATTTGGACAATCCTTTAAGGAAAAAATATTAGTAGTTATATAATATATACAATATGTGTCGTAATATATAGAAATAAATTCAAAGATAAATTCCTTGATTATTTCCGAATAGATTTCAATTTGACACTGATATTAGCATTTTATTATTTATTCCTTAATTATCTCTTTTCTGATGTTAAATATTAATGTTCAAATTACAATAAAATATAATTATAAATTTTTAAACTAAAGTTTTGGAAGAAACATTTATATATAAAATTGAATACAATTTATTTAAAATTAATTTACAGATTTGATAATACTTTACTTCAAAGCTTTACGATGTATGTCTATGGCATAAATTATGCCCTTACAAATTAAATTTGCATTTTTTATATCACTCATTCGTCTAATACCAATTGTCATGGCTTGCTCCATACGATAGCTGTAATAAATAACTTATATATATTTAAATACATATACATATATATGTATATACATATATATATATATATATATATATATAAAAGGGTGTCTCAAAATTAGGGTAAGAACCGCATTGGGGACGTAGAATGGATCAAGGGGAATAAAAAAGTCTTACTATTTTGAGATATTTGCTGTAGTTTTTGAATTAAAAAAAAAAAAAAGAAACTGTCTAAGCCAACGTGCAGTGAACATATAATTAACACGTATAATAAATTTGAAATAAATCCTATGTAGTTTCATCTAACTGAATGCGACAAAGCAAATATGATATTTTGATATTTACAATACAAAAGACTTCGTATTATGAAAAAATTAGGAAAATTCTTGATAAAATGAGTTAGTTTTTACATGTAATATAGCTTATAACGTGATAAAAGATGTTATAAACTTAAAACTCAATATTAGATAATTTTTGAGCTATGATGTGTCAAAGATGCTCTGTAAGTATAAATTTTGCACATTTGTGTATCATAGCTCAAAAATTATCCATTTTCTAGCTTTGTATTTGTGACATACTTTGTCCACCACATTATAAACTACATTATATGTAAAAACTAACTCATTTCGCGATCTAATTTATCATATAATTAGTGCGGAATTTTTTTGATAGTCATTATTGCATTAATTTTTTTACCTGGCAATTTTTAACATTCCGCAGACATGTTGCATATACGTTAAAAGCATTGCTCCCGTCGCAAGCATTGCGAGTGATCCTATAAAGAATGCTACATCTGCATGCAGTATAATTAAATAAAAGTATCTTTCTTGATCGAAGAAGTATTCTGTGACGATTTTTAATGATGGCTGCAGCTGGGATTTGTTTTCAGAGATCATAGTATCGATTATATGTGGCAAAAATGGAGAAAAGATGAACAAAATATCGGTAAAGATAAAGAGCACTAAAGAATGATTTGAAAACAATCATAAAAAATTATTAATTTTTTAATATTTTTAAATACTATTATACATTTTAAATTTATTTTATTTTCCCTCAATATATATGTTTACGATATCACCTGATGTACAGCTATATATGGTTATTTCAAATTTTGTGCGCATAAACGCACTTCTTAAAGTACTTGTATACTAAAGATGGTACACACAAGAAGACATTGCATAGATTTCAGATGGTAACAAAGCAATTTGTACATGTGATATGATTTAATGTAATATCACCATACATACGTATAATCGATTAGTTAATTATTCAAAAAAATTAGCTTTTATCATTCATAATTACGAAATTTGAAACACAATACTGTGTACAACCGCAAATAGATTATTCAATAAAAATGTTACTTGAATTTTTAAATGAAACCTGCATATTTCCTAAGTAGTGAAAACTGAGAGATTGTCTTACGCGTAAGTATTTCAGTGTAACGTTTTGCGATGTTCCAATACTTTTCTATAATGGCAATTTCATTTTCGTCTCTTAGTTCATCGTAGGTATCTTGAAGAAGTTCTAATAAGTGTTTTACCTGTCAATGATTTTCTATGCTACTTGTTATGCGGAAGTTGATATAGACAAATGTAATATACTCTTTAAATATCTTGAAATAAAATCTCGAAGACAGTTAAATTACTGCTAAAAAAGAAAAAGAATGGAAAATTTGCACTCTCGAAGAGTGGCAGGTTTTTTTTTTTTAGTAAAATTTACTCTAAAAGAGAAATCTCACTCTTTTTTTTTTTTTTTTTTTTTTTTTTAAGTGAATCTCACTTCATAAAAAAGTGAAAATTAGTCACTCTTATTCAAGAGTGCTTAAAAGTGCAAATTTTTCATTTTTTGTTTAATAGTGGCAGTATTTTAACTTTTAGAGTAAGATTTTATTTTAAGAAATTTAAAGAATACAACATGCATTTATTTAAATAAAAAATATTTCTTATCGCTTACAACATCCATGTTAAAGTTGAACGAGAGGTATGGTATCAAGAAGAGATTAAAGAAGAACGTGACAGATAGAATTTCAATGGTTAATTGCAAATCATATTTTGAGGTCGCAAATGTTGTAAACTACGGGAAATGATTTTGTTGAATTATTTATATAAAAAATAACATTATTTTATCAGCAAATAGAAAGATTTTAATTATTAATTATTTTTCTTATGTACAATAATACATTGAACATAAAGCATAAAATCTAATTATACATACGTCATAATAATTATATAACAAAATTATATATTATTTTATATTGTATAATTATAAATAAATTTAAATATGCCAGATTGCTGTTAATAACAATGTGGTAATTTATTAATTATTAATGAATATTGTTATTAATAAATAAGAACGTTTTTTATAAAAATCTACTAAATACTATGCATTTATTTACCTGAAATATAATAAAACTTCCCAGAATTCCGTAATGCAAAGTCAATTGTAGTCGAACGAGTTTAGATTGTTCATAAGGCCACAAACCAATAGCGAGCATGAGAATTCGATTGAGACTAAAGTATCGATCCTTTACGCAAGTCATCTCTTCGAGGGTAGGAACACATATGACTGCAAAAAAGTGGGGAACATTCCGTCCATCCCCACTTTTTGACCGATTCATTGAATATTCCTTCTTTTAGTGTAAATTTTACTATTAAAAACTTAACGTTACTTTTATATTAAACGTTATAGAGCATTCAAACACTTGTAATTTTGCAGTATTTTTCTTAAAGAAGTCTGCGATTAAGCGATCGATGTATAAGGAAAATTTTTCCCACAAAAATGAAGAAAAAAAGACATTTGTGGAAAAATAGCCTCATAAATGTTACACTGGCAAATTCTATTGTTTTCGCTGCCGCAACTTCATTTATTTATATAAATATGTGTGTATGTGT